CCCTGCCCCCCCCAGGGTCAGAGGGGGCGAAATCGCCACCTTCTGGGACTCTTCTGAAGCTTCCCAAGCCTCAAGAGTCCCTGAAGGTGGCGATTTCACCCCCTCTGACACCTGGGGGGGCAGGGTGAGTCTCTAAAGGGTCCTAGGGTGTGTTCCAGGACCCTTTAGAGACTCACCCTGCCCCCCTGCTGGACCAGAGGGGGCGAAATTGCCACCTTCTGGGACTCTTTTGGGGCTTGGGAAGCTTCAGAAGAGTCCCAGAAGGTGGCGATTTCGCCCCCTCTGACCCTGGGGGGGCAGGGTGAGCCTCCAAAGGGTCCTAAAGTGTGTTCCATAAGATGGACCTCTCCATAAGGCTCACCAATTTTTAGAAGAAGAAAACAGATTATTAAGTGTTGGTGCATGCATAAACAGAAAGAACATTACCTACTACATATATAAGGGGAAGATGTTCTAAATTGTGGCTGGAAATCTGAAGAAATAAATGCAGATCCCAGAGATTTATGCATATTAATACTTGGCTTAGTAAGGAAATCGGCTGTATCAGGAAATTCTACTGGTGATCGGTGATATCCACTGTAGACAAATCCATTACTAGGTGAAGCCAGAGGAATTAGATTCTGAGAAGTTCCTAAGATAAGGGAAAAGCATGAGGAGTCAGAGAAATACTGTATTAGAAACAGAATTAAAACTATGCAATCTGACATCAGAAATACATGAACATATCTCAAAATACAGTCATGCCCTGCTTAACAATTGTCCCGTATTACGACGAATCTGCTTTACAACAATATTTTTGGGATCGCAATTGCGATTGCAAAATGATGGTTCAAATGGGGGAATTTCGCTTAGCGATGATCGGTTCTCTGCTTCGGGAACTGATTTTCGCTTTACGACGATCAAAAACAGCTGATCGTTGGGTTTTCAAAATGGCCACCGGGTGATTAAAATGGCTCCCCGCTGTGCTTAGGGACGGATGCCACACTATACAGGCACCGAAAATGGCCGCCAAATGGAGGATCTTCGCTGGACTGTGAGTTTTTAGCCCATTGGAATGCATTGAACGGTTTTCAATGCATTTCAATGGGCTTTTTAATTTCGCTTTATGCTGTTTTCACTTAACAGCGATTTTCCTGGAACAGATTATCGTCGTTAAGCGAGGCACCACTGTATAATTTGTGCATATGCCTGGCCCCCTCACTATTTATTTATTTATTAAATTTATACCCCGCCCCTCTAGACCATGTCTACTCTGGGTGGCTTACAACATAAAATAAATCAATATAATATATATATAATCATTAAAAATACAATTACTATATTAATTAAGACACTTAATTTAAGAAAAGGATTACCAAGATGGGGTAGGATAAG